GAGAGAGAGAGAGAGAGAGAGAGAGAGAGAGAGAGAGAGAGAGAGAGCGCATTCAAGTATGCCGAGGTCACTGGTCTTTACCTTCCACCTTTTTGAGGCAGGAGCTCCTGTTCACACTCTGTACACCAGGCCAGCCGGCCTGAGAACTTCCAGAGAGCCCTGTCTGTCTCTGCCTTCCATTTCGTCGTAGAAACGCTGGGTTTACAGATGTGTGCTACTGTGTCTGCTTTTACATGGGCGTTTGGGATCAAATTCTCACCATTATGTGGCAAGTGCTTTATCCACTGAGCCATTTCCTTGGCCCAGGCATGTGTCTCTCAGTCCTTTGAACACATACCTGAGGTAGGTCATGAGACATGAAACCTAAGGAGCAGCCAGGTCATTGAGTTGCTTCAGTTTGGCTGCCACTGTCACCATCATGGAGACTCGCTTAATTCCCATCCCTTTCCCTTTCAGCGCCCCAGCACTTCCTGGGCTCTGCCAGCCCTGTCTTTGCAGAGTGGTGTTTCGCTGTTGGTCCTGATTTGCATTTGGCTAATTGCTAACCATGTTAATTACCTTTCTGTGTGTTTGCCGCCTGTGTGCGTTTCCTTTTTGGGAGATGTCTGTTTGCCTCTTTGCCCGCTCTGCTGTCACACTGTTTATTTTTCCCTTCACTTTGTAGCAGATCCGTGTGTGTCCTTGAGGCCAGTCAGGTGCGGGGGGATGCCAGTCCCCCATCCCCTCACTCAAAAGCAGTAAGGGTGGTGTGTTTTGGAGCAGGGGGGGGGAGATCATGTGTCTTGGTGATAGACATATAAGCCTTGCAGTTCTTCCAGTCTTGAGAGTCGCAGGTTAGACCCAGGTTCAAATCCTGCCTTCTCCACTGACCGATTCATGGTGTTTGGCTTCTGGACTCATTTTCCTAAGAAAAGCTCTTCTGCGGGAAGGCATGGTGTGCCAGGAGAACATCCATAGGCACTGCGTTGCCCTGGTGTCTACAGGGTGCTCAGCCTGTGGCAGTCCCCAGAGGAGGAGGGCCATCCTCACAGTAGACAGAGCATAGGAAGGAGTCCCCTTGCCTGTTGCAGAGCTGATAACGGGGTAGTTCTGTTGCTCTGGGTGGGCAGCGTCCTTCCAGCTCAGTGAGGGTGACCACATCCTTGCTCTGTCAGTGGTGTACATTTATAGATGGCTCACAGCAGCTACCTGTGGTCAGGATGTATTTTTGTAAGCTTCTCGGCCGTGCCACTTACTGCCTGCCAGGGAAGGCTCTACCAGGGCCTGTGAGAACAGACACATTCAGTCACTGAGGTGTGTGTGCTGTTCCAGTGGGTGGCAATGTTGTGAGTTCAAGAGGATGGAGCCCGTGGCACCCTGAAGCCAAGGTCTGTGCTCTTGACCCTTGGGCTCTTGCAGCCTTGTTCGGAAATTGAGTCTGTGCTTGTTCTGCTGTGACCTCCAGCAGGGCAGCCTCCAATAGCCTGCTCCATTCACCTGGTTACTAAAGCCCCCCACCGGGGGGGGGGGGGGACTTCAGGGAGGCAGTCCTCTGGGTGTGGAGCCCTGTGGACTCATGGTCGGTGATGCTGCTACTCAAATACAGCCTTCTTTCCTTTGGGACAGTAGGCCAGGTGTCCCTGTTTGGGGGTTTGCCCTGCCCCTTCCCAGTCTGCTTGCAGTGACTATGCTGAGGAGCCCCTACCTTAGTTAGTGCTTCTAGAATGGGAGACTGCAAGAGGCAGCTGGCCAACTTCCTCCTCAGGCCCTCTTCCACGTATGACTGCACAGCAGGTATTGCTGTGGGCTTAGGATTTCCCACTAGCCAGGGCCTGACAAAGGTGGCAATGTGGCCCTAGCCGACTCAACATGGATTGGAGGCTGAGGCACCTTTCGCCCCAAGACTGGCAGGCGTCTCCCCTCAACCCTGATCCTCGTGGTCTTATCTTGCAGGCTCAGCTGTCTCAGGCCCTGGAGGACCTTGGGGTTCAGAAGCAGAGAGCCGACACGGTGAGTACTGAGTGGGGGTCACTTGGTGCTGTGTGGTGAAGGGCAGCCTGAAGACAGGTCACCTGATGTCTTGGATCCACGCACAAGGGAGTTCCTGCCTTTCCCGGGCAGGACCTGGCCTACAGGCACATCCTCCTGTGTGACCATGCTTCTCCGACATTAGAAACTGCGTAGTGGAAGGAGCAGAGGTGAAAATTGAGTCTTCTTGCCCACCCTCATGTGATGCCAAAGTGTGAGCCAGCAGGAGTCATGGGAGCCTTTTGGGAGTCTATAGCTAAGGGCTTGGGCCTGGCCCAGGTCAGCCTGTGGTCATCAGGATGTGGGTTAGATAACACAGGTAGGGTTTGCCTGTGGTACTCAGAGTGTAGGCTCCAATTCATAAGTGTTGGCTTGTGGGGACTCTGAGGGTACTGGGCCAGAGTTGAAATTCTGATCTGGGAGTGAGAGAGACCAATGATGAATGAAATACAGAACCAAGGAAGGTTGTGCAGTGCTGGGTGTGCCCACTACCCACTCACCAAGTACTGTGGACACAATGTGTTGCCATCAGCATGGGAGTCAGACTGTGACCAAGCAGGGGCTAAGCAGCGGAGTGCCAGTCAGCTGGTAGCTGGCAGTTAAGACAGCATTGGGGAGGAGAAGGTGCCTGGGACTGTGGTCAGAGGTGGCAGACCGGGCAAGCCTCTGGCCTAGAGTGTGGGAGCAAAGAGTGGGTGGTCCTATAGATTATGGGGTGTTATAGCCAGCAGTGAGTGCGGAGGAGGATCTGTGGACTGCAGAGCGTGGTGTCTGCCACTGGGTGCGGTGAGTTTCTTTAACTTTGGGAGGTTGTCAGGGGTGGTATGACCTTGTTCTACCCAGGCAGTGTTGGTTGTGGGCTGCCTAGTGTGGTAGCCATTTTGTCTCCACATGTGACCTCTTGGGCTTCATCTCTGTGATCCAAGTGCCCAGCTTCCTTTAGCGGTGGCCTGTTTGCTGTTGCCTTGGGGGAAGCCATGTGCGGGGGTGTGGAGTTTCTGTGAGCTGAGCATCAATCTGCACAGCCTGGGGAGACCCTGATGTTCTGTGCGTCAACATGCGTGGCTTCCTCGGTGTTGACCTGAATTGGAATGTACCCCGGGGCCTTGTTTTCATAATGTACACGAGGCCAAGAAGAATTAGAAATGAGTTGTGCTAAACACATGCCAGGCCCCGGGTTCTGTGGCTAAGCAGCTTGCTGTCACCCAGGGTCCACTTTACACAGAAGCAAGGCTGCTTGCCCTGTACTTCCCATGTCACTTTGGAGGAACTGTAGGTCCTGTGTCCATTTTAGGGACAGGGTGCAGAAGTTGTTCTTGGGTACTTAGTACTAGGTAGCTCCTGGAAGTCCGTCTCACAGGCTTCCACATCTTAGTGCATGACTGTGGCGTACACTAAGTGGCATTCGCTAAAGTCTCGCTGGTCCTCTCATCTTGTGTCCCTTATTGAAACTCCTAGTACCTGTGAAACACTAGAGCCTGGACACCCATAGAGATTAATTTAGAATCCTGGGCCTCTGACAGGATGGGACTTGACCTATGTCAATCTGTATTGACATAGTGTTCACCTTGGCATCTAGTCAGAGGAGATAGGCCCTTGCCTTCCAGCTTGTTTGAGACAGTGTTTCATTACCACTGTATGTCCAGCTAGCTGTGCTGTGAGCTCTGTCTCCACCTCCATCTTTCCATAGGAGGACTAGGATTATAGACACTTGCTACCACTTCCAGCTTTATTTGGGTGCTGAGGATCAAGCTCATGTCCTCTGACTTGTATAGCAAGTGCTTTTCTTGCTGGTCTATTTCTGTAACCCCAGCTCTGCCTTTTTGCTTACCCCTGGTTGTAGGGGACTTGGGGACAATGGAGATGCTGGATAGTTTTCTGTCAGCGTGACACAAGCTAGAGTCATTAGAGAGGAGGGAGCCTCAATTGAGAAAATGCAGCCATAAGATCTGTCTGTAAGGCATTTTCTTAATTAGTGATCAATGGGAGAGGACCCAGCCCATTGTGGGTGGTGTCTCCCTTGGGCTGCTGGTCTTGGGTTCTATAAGAAAGCAGGCTGAGCAAGCCATGGGGAGCAAGCCAGTAAGCAGCTCCCCTCCATGGCCTCTGCATCAGCTCCTGCCTACAGGATCCTGCCCTGTTTGAGTTCCTGCCCTCACTGCTTTTGATGATTTAAGTTTTATATGGAACTGTGAGTGAAATAAACTCTTTCCTCCTGAGCTGCCATTGGTCATGTTTTATCAAAGAAACAAAAACCCAAAGACAATGGTCACTGCAAGCTTATAGTGAAACATGGCTGTCTTTGACTCTTGAGAGAGGGGCAGGTGCCACAGGCTCTAAGATGTCCAGATTTCTGATGCTGCTGAATGGAATGTTGGCCTCTGGGGCAGGTTTTCTTCGTGTTTGTTTAGGGTTGCAGCCTCAGCTGCCTCCTCAGCCCAGTGTTTGATCTCTGCCTCTGATTGCCTAATCTTAGGTCATTTCAAGTTGTTTATTTCCCTTCTCATCTCCTTCCCATTTAAGAGGAGAATGAGAAGTGGCAGTTCTTGGGGACCCGTGACACAGCTGGTCACACGTGTGTTTGTCTCACAGTCTCCATCCTCCCTGCATATGCTGCAGGATTCAGGGGCGTCTTTGCCAGCCTGTCTCCTGGCCACACCGAGCTTGATGAGGGGGTCGTTCCTCAGAGCAGCAGACCTGCATATCAGGATCACTATTCTGCTGAGCAGTACATCACACGAGTTACATGTCCAGCCCCACCACACAACAGTGACCCCATGCCCAGTCATTCTCTGTCCCCTCTGGAAGCCCTCACCGCTGCGTTCACTGCTGGCAGCTACGTTTCTTTCCTCCATTTTATTGATTTTTTTTATTACTTATTTTGCTTCTTTGTGTCTGTTAGTACATATTTGAGTACACGTGTGCACATATGAATGTATGGTTGCATGCACGTAGAGATGAGAATCTCAGGTGTCTCTCATTGGCCTGGCACGTTGGCACCTAGGCTAGGCTAGCCTAGCCAGTCCATGAGTCCCAGGGATCTGACTCTCCATCTCCTATCCCACCATCATTGGGATTATAAGCATTAACCACCACTTTTGGCTTTTTATGTGGGTCATGGGGGCCAGAATTAGGGTCTTCATTGCCTGTGAGGTAGTGTTTCATGACGGAACCTTCATCTCAGATCTGTTGTTGGTGTTTTGTGTATAGGTTCCACTCTGTAACCCAGGCTGCTAACCTCAAACTCGTGATTCTCATGCCTTAGCCTGAGTGCTCAGATTAGAGGCACACCCACAACCACTGCCCCCTTTTCTAGACTTAAGCTTGCATTTCCAGTGTCCTCCTGGGTTGTGGCTCCTGGGTCTCTCTGCTGTGGCTCCCAAGAGATGCAGTTGATGTCATTTCATGTCCTTAGACCTGTAGCAGACAGGTACCTAGCAGTGTCTCCCAGGGAACTGTGGTCAAGCCAGCCTGAAGGCCCCCCTCTATCATCCTGTTTACCTTCAGCCTGTGCTGACCACCTCCCCTCCCATTCCCTGTGCACGACCCGGGTCCATCCTCCTCTGGTTGTGACCTCTTTCCCAAGGTTACAAGGGAGTTGCCTGCGAGGTGCCTGCTGCTTGCCAACTCCTCAGGCTTTAGTAGCTCTTTTCTTCGTGGAGAAGAACCAGAGACAAAGGAGCAAGTGCACCCTGGAGCTGGCAGTAGGCTGCTCAGCCTGCCTCCGAGCCCTCTGTCTTCCTGAGGCTGAGATGTTGTGAAGATGGGCCATTTGAGCCAGTACCATCTGACCCTGGGCAGGAGACTCCTGTGACCTGCATGTAGAGGAACCACACAGGCATCCAGCCTGATCAGGGACACAGCCTGGGTACTTGGCCTGATCCCTGCAGCTCTCAGCCCTCCGTCTGCTGGAATCTGACTCCAGGCTTGTTCACAAGTGGTAGAAGGAGAGCTGTGCCATATTGAGCTAATCGCTGATGGCAGGACAAAGGCAGCTTGACTTTGTGTTATTAATTAGTAACCTCACACTAATTAGTGAGCATGAGTGTGGTTCATGCTTCCTCTTTAAATGCAATTAATACCACAACGAGCAACGTCCCGGGCCAGGCTTGCGTTGTTAGAATACCTCACCCTAATTAGATCCGGCTAGCAGTGGCTAGAGAAATGAGGTTTTTGATTACAACCATAAAAAGCCTCCAATATTTTATAGACTTCAGGGAGCTAGAAATGTGGATTTATTTTCTGTCTTACCAGGCATCTCCCCTCCACCCCTACCCCATCAAGTGTAATTAAGCAGTCATTTCTCTTGATTACCATTTCTCCCTAATGGTTCCTCCTTGCCCTCTGAGTCTTACTCCCAATGGAGCTAGTGGATCAGGAGGGGGCCTGTGCCCCCAAAGAGACTGTGGTAGAATCGGCCTGGTACGTCTGCTGACCACTCGCTCGCTCTTCCGTGTGCCATCTCCAAGGGTAACTTCTGCATATGATTTCCCTCTCTGTGGCCATCCAGAAAGGAGCACATCACAGGTGAATCCTCTTCACAGGCGGATGCTCAGGGTGATGAACTGACAGCGGGGAGCTGGCCCTTGTCTGGTCAAGTGCTCGCCTGGACAAGCACGAGGCTCTGGGTTCCATCCCCTGCACTGCATGGTGTATGGTGGAACATGCACATAATCCCAGCACTCTGTTGGTAAAAACAGGAACATTAGAAGTTCATCCTCAGCTCCATCATAAGCTCAAGGCCAGCCCGGGCTACATGTGACCTGATCACAAAGAAACAGGAGACTGTGTGTGTGTAGGAGGGTGTTGGAGAGATGGCTCCGTGGTTAAGAACACTTGTTACTCTTACAGAGGATCTGGGATTCCATTCCTAGCTCCCACATGGTGACTCACAACCATCTGTAACTTCAGTTCCAGGGGATTCATGCCCTCTTCTGGTCTCACAGGCACTGGGCATACATATGGCACACATGCATACGTGT